CCCACAGGGGGGTCCAGCGCCGAGCCAGGCGCGGGGACCTCCGACGGAGTGCATGCTGGTGCCATTCATCTTTGTGTTCTACGCGGGAGGGGCATGATTGCTATGGCACGTGTTTGGACCTCGTCTGGAGATGGAGCCCGAGAGCATTTTTTGTCCTGTGCGCGCTTCAAGCATTGATGGCTCAATTTTTAAAGAAGAGAAGTAGCACATAAACATAAACTTTTGGCGCTCCGCTCGGATTTCTTGGATCCGCGCTGGGCCCCCCTGTCGGCGCCTCCGGCGCCGCCCCTGGCGCGCTCCGCGTTCCAGCGAGGGGGCTCTGGCGCGGGTCCAAGAAATCCGCGCGGAGCGCCAAAATTATGTTTACGTGGTTATGTTTCTTCTACACTTGCTGTTTCTGCTTTCGCCGTGGATCATGCGGTGCGGTGCGGAGGGCATCCCTCCCCTGCCCCTGCCCGCTCCTCCTCCCCCTCCCCTTCCGTGCTGCCCTTCCCCCTCCACTCCTTCCCCCCCCCCCTTTTTGCAGGAGGGGGAAAACTCACAGACACAATGAATCGTCGATTCCCAGGAATATATAGGGAAATATGGATGTGGGGGGGGAGGGCGAGAACCCCGAAAATACGTGGAAAGATTGTATTTGTCTGTATTTATTCATGTGTCCCCGGGCCCCTTCACTCCTGCTGCTCCCCTCTGCAAGCCCCCCCCCCCTGCCGTCCGTTCCTCCTCCTCTGCGTCGTTCTCGTCTCCGTGCTTGAGCGCCGTCGTCGCCAACCACAAAGCGGACGAAGCCGCCGGCGACGACGCTGCCGACGACGCCGCCGACGCAGGCGGCGGTCCCGACGGCGGCCGCGCCGCGACGGCCGCAGCCCCTCCCCGGCGCGCGCAGCTGCAGCTGTCCGAGGAGCCGCCCGCGGTGCCCAGGACCGGTCGCCCGCCCGCCCGCCCTCCCCCGCGCGGCGCTGCGCCGGGCCGCGGGTCGTCCCCGGCGTCGTCGTCGACGCCATCGTCGGATGCGGACCCAGAGATCCAACGTATTGGAAAAGCAAGACGGAGGTTTTCCGCAAATTTCGGCCCCTGGGGGCCCTCGCCGGGCCTCGGGACCGTCCAAAAACGCTTGAGGATGAAAACCCGGTCCTGGGGCATGGGTCGAGACTTCTGTGGACCCCGTATGGAAAAAAAAAAAAAAAAAAACACAACATCGGATCTCTGGAGAGGGGGGAGGAGCGACGAGGAACAGAAACGGCATAAACATAAACTTTTGGCGCTCCGCGCGCATTTCTGGAATCCGCGTTGCGGCGCCTCTGGCGCCGCCCCTGGCGCGCTCCGCGCGCCGGGGAAGGAGGGTCCAGCGCAGATGCAAGAACTCCGCGCGGAGCGCCAGTAGTTTATGTTTGTGCCGTTTGCTCTTCTGAGGAAGAGGGCCAGCCACGCGCAGAGGGGGGTACAGTCGGACCGAGGTATCAGATCGAGGTCGATTCGGGTTGGGTGCCCTTGGATGTTCTTCGCGCTGGTGGGGCGTTCAGGTGCATCCTGGGGAGGGTGCCCTTGGATGTTCTGTGCGTTTTGGCCGGCGGAGGGTCTCATGTTCTTGAGGGATGATCTTCTGGCCGTGGTCCGAGTGTAGGGGGAGGGGGGAAGGCTGTTTCTTAGAAGGAGGCTTCTTCTCAGAAGAAAGCTGCTTCTTTGAAGGAGGCTGCTTATTAGAAGGCGCCGGCAGGCAGGAGGGGGGAGGGATGAGCAAGAGGAGGGGAGGGCAAGGCACGATCTTGGGCCCAGTTCGGGTCGTTACCTGTTTGTGCACGCTGGTGTGTGTGAGTGGGCCGAGGGAGGGGGGAAGGGGGGAGGATGAGGAACGATGTGCGGAGAGGGTGGGGGAGGAGGGTGAATGCGGACGGAGGGGGGAGGAAGAAGAATGAGGAGGGATGGGGGGCGGATGGAGAGAAAGGGAGGAGGAGGACGGAGGCGAATAAGGGAGGCGGCGGACGATGGCATTGACGCGTGGTCGTGCTCAATTGTCGTGGGGTCGCTTGAGGCCTGAGCCGTCCAGTGACCGAGAAGTCAACAAAGACGTGGCAGCCTTCGGAGCGGATATCCGCGGGAGGCCTGAGACCTGACACTCAAGTGACTAAGAAGCCTTGGGACAGGTGAAAGACATGGTTCCGTGAAACCCTGGACTAGATGAACAGAGATGGGCAGTGTAAATTGCGGAAAGCCATGCGCCACATTGACGAACCGCATTGAACCTTGCTCTCTGAGACGTCGAACGAGAATTCGTCAAGAAAGCGCCCAAGGGGCATTGAAACACACAGGCGCGTGCCCGAAGGGGCAGGGAGCGCGGCACCGCACTCAACCTGCCCGCCACGCCTCCCAGAGCCTGGATGGGGCTTGGGAGCCCCTTGCTGGGGCTTGGGAGCCCCTTGCTGGGGGGGGGGGGCCAGCAAGGGGGGGAGTTCTGGTCGCCAGCCCCCGATCGCCCGCTGCCCAGGGGATATCAGCTCCC